TTGGTTAATAAATTTGATCGAGGAAGGAGGTGACTTATTAATTTGATGCTTTTTTCACAGGCCTTTACATTAAAATGTTCTATGAGCTTCATGCAAATGCATTTAAGCAGAAATAGCGTGCTGTGGTTCATTATTGTCAGACTTTTTGCTTATTAATTATGCCAAGAATTTTTACTCATCAGTGAGTAATCTCACAATACCATGCACATCCATCAGTTGTCCCGACCACTTCTCAATTTCTGCACCTCCACCAGCCAGACAATCAAGTAGGTGCCTAACCACAGTTTTTATTACCCAACTCTAATTTCCACACATTTACACACACGACCCAAATGAAAACTCGCAGCATGACTCATAGGCGATGTAAAAACTAAAAAAAAAAAAGAGGGACAGACCTCTAAGCCCACTCCACACGTGAACACTTGACTACTGCCCATGGGGAAAATATTAGTGCATCTAAGACTAAAGACAAATAATGACATAAAGCAAATAGAACACACATAAAGAAACCCTAGACCTGGGCCCCGGAGTCCGGACATGTCGATTCGTGCATTGGAAAGAAATCTGAAAACCTTAGGCGACCAGACCGAAAATGTCTTATCTAACCATAAAATCTATGGAAAAAGGGGGCGAAAATTACTCAAATAAAAAAAGAATCAACCGACATGTTTGTACAAGAGGGACAGACGGAAAAATCTTCGGTAGGCAAACAAAAAGAACAATCAAATAAATTAAACAAAGGCCAACAGCGACGATCCAGAAGAAGGGTCTTCTCCAAGTGGATCGCACGTCCAAAGGCAATCTTATCGGCATATCGGTTGTATTTCCCATCTCCACTGCTTTTTTGCTCCGGGTGTACGAAAGTAGGAAAAATAAGAGGTCCGAGTCCGAGGACCCAGTTGTCCGAATCCCGAACACAGTTATGCACATGTTCTACCCATGCCGCCAGACGGCGAGACGATCATCAAAGCCCCCCAACCAAGCCGCGAAACCCCAACCACTCGGAATTCACCAGCGAAAATCAAGTGAGATTTGTGATGAAGAGAAATACGATACGACCCTTGAATACCTCTTTATAGAGGGTTCCACCAAGATAAATATGTAAAGAGTTTTGTAGAATAATAGACTTCAAACCAGTTTATGCTAGAATCTTGTTTAAAGTTTAATATTTAATATTTAAATTCAATTAAATATTTCTTAAAAATCAAATTTTGAATATAATATACCCACAATCCGATACCTTAAATGAGTATTCGAACGGGCGGAGAACACACAGCAACAAACACTCGTTAAACAACATTAAATGGGTCTCGTTTTGGGCTGTGGAATGGGAGCGTGCGCAGAGGAACCCCTTCCCGAATCACCTTCCCCAGCTACCGAGGGGTATGAGCGTATGACTCATCCAGGGAATCGGGTCTGGGGCCTGGGGTCTGGGAATCATCGCGGTGCCTGGCGGTGCGCTTTAAGCTTCCGACCCAGACCATCGCCGCGGATCGGTTCGGGCTCGGTTTCGGATCGTCTGCCTAAGCAGCCCTCAATGACAGGCGTTACAAAATGGGAATAACAAAAATAAGAGGTAGGAGAGTGAGTTAATGACCCCGAGTGCTACGGATCACTTGGCAATTGTCTTTGTTTCTTTTCCCAGTCTGGGCTTTCTAAATGGGAAATCAAATAAAACAAAATATTCATTTCTGACAAGATCGAAAAGCGGACGCAACCGGACCACCAGTTGGGATCATAAAAAATTAACACAAATTAACGAAACGAATCCAAAGGCAGAAAAAAGATACACAAATACAAAAGTGTGAGAAATTGAGAGTTGTCGAGATTGGGGATTGGGAACTAAGAGAGTGGGGGTACTTAAAAGAGATGACATTTCTTTCGGGGAAGGCTGGAAAACATTGCGCAATTCTGAGAATAAGTATATTGGAGCTCCGAAAACGAATCAACCTGATAAATAAAATGAAACTGAGAGGCAACCAAAAATGAATGAGCAATGTGGATTCGTGACAGATTAATCAACTTCTGAATAACCCAAATAAACAAAGATAAGCGTATTATATTATTAAGTAGTGAAGAAGTAATTTTAGAGATAATAATTTTTAATGTGAATCTAAATAATGTGAATATTTATAATTAGTTACGATTTTTATAGCACGATATTAATATTATCATTCTAGAAATATGGAGAAAGTCTTAATGATATTTGATGAATTGGAAAATTTCATTAATGATGATTAAATAGAGCATAAATCACGCCATTAAAAGCATAGAAAATTTAAGATGTGAACCTTTAAAAAAAACTGTTTTTAAATTATATCCACAGAATTTCCCAGTGAGTTGCGCAAGTTATCTCATTTTTGATATTACTCATTAAAATTTATATGTAAATGGTACGGGTATCCACGCATTTACAATTTGATTGGGCTGTGTAAGATATAACGTTTTGAGGCAGTCCCAAACAAAGACAATGACACGTCAGAAGACGGGCTTCAGGCAAAAAAACATGATGAAATTATCGCTAAAAAATTTGCTTTCGTTTGGGGAACGTAAAGTGAATTTCTGGAATCCCAATTGGGAAAACTTCCGGGTTGATCGAAAATTCGATTGACACACTTTTCTGGAATGAATCCCGTATCATGTGGGTCATTTGACATGCAGATTAAAAACTCAATCGAATGAAATGAAATCTTATTTGACAAATTCAATAAGCCACAAGACACCACCCAAATTGAAACTTTATGATATCTGGGCAGTCAAACAATTAGCTATGCAAATGATATATGGGTTCTCAACAAGTCAACCCCAAAATCGGATAACTTGTTTCTGCCCAAATCATGACTAATTTAAATAAAAATTGCCATAATTACCCGCATGACGAGAAAGGGCCGAAAATCGTGTAATCCTTTAAGAAAACATCAGCTAAATGGAAAACCCAGATGCCTATCTTAGAGGTTAAAGATTTCGCCTCATTGGGCAATTGGAGATTTAGATGATTATCTTCGAAAAAGAAAAACATTGGATTGGAAAAGGTATTCAAGAGGTTAATCATCGAACTAATTGGCATTTGAAAAAAGGCACATTAAGGACCTTATGTAGGGGGGAAAATTAGCGAAGAAGTCTGAAACTCCACCCTTTTTGGCAATGATTCAGCTACTGCCAGAAAAAAAGGTCACAACCTGAACTCCGCCCCAGAAAAATAAAACCAGACCCAAAACAAAAATGTTCAACTCGAACCACATTGGTTCCCCAACAAGCCCAGAAAGAGAGGGAACACACAGTTTTTGGCTTCCTCTTTTGGCCCGCTGGAGCATGAAACGCTGTTAGGAAGCATAAGCCACGCCCAGCCTTCAGGGATTTATGTTGGCGCGAACCCGGAAAGAAAAGACAGACGGAAAAAATAACTAAAAAGGGAAGTCCCACGCTGCTGTGCGACAGAGAGGCCTGATAAGGGAAAGAGCTAGAGAATAGACGGAGAAAAGTAGAGTAGTTCGGGCAACAATAGACCTAGACCTAGAGTAGCTGGAGAAGATGACGCAGACCAACCCCCGAAGTGGCAGGTTTACTCTGCCACAGTGGAAACACTTGAGACGCACGCCGTAAGATTTGGTTTCTATGTGTAAGTGGGTACAGTAATACGGCTTTGTGTGTGGAGTCTAAGTAAAAATAAAAGGCATACTATAAGGCATAAAAGTAATAGTTATAAAGTCTATAATTAAATAAAATTAAATAAAATATTTCTTTATATTAAGTATACGTAGGTATATTAAGTATACGCATCGTATAAAAGAGATCTTAAACAATTGGAAATATGAAACAGTAAGTCATTGTTTGGATATCATTACCAACAGAAGAGTAATTAATAATACTTAATCCTCAACGAAATTTTTGTTATATTATATATAAATGATTTCCAGAGAAATTATTCATATCGTATCATATCATATCCGACTTGTTCCGCTCTAATGGGAATAAAAATTGCACTCGAAAAATACAAAAATATGAGATGGGGGACCTCCTCCCATTGTTGTCCATATAAACTCTTCTCCTTGTGGAGTATATACCGTTAATTTATGAGATATTGTCATAATTCTTAGTCGGAAGTTTCAGATGATTGTGTAAACATTTGTAGAACGCGATCTGTTGATAAAGAGAGATATATACAGGTGGGCTCGTCAAGGCGAGAGACAGTAAAATAAAAGAAATGGAACTCAACTTTGCCCACTTGCCCATATTTCAAGTGCGGTTGCCGCCCACGCACAAACCACTCTCTTTTATTGATACACTTTCAAGGGGTACTTTGAATAAAATTACTAAGAGAAAGTAAGAAAGTCTAAATATAATCTAAAATACATTTATTTTATTCATAGTGTTTTATAAGGATATATGGATCTTATGAAACTGCTTCTTTAGATTCAAAAATAATAAGTGTTCGAAATATTAATATAATCACATAAGGAATATAATATATAGTTTCTTAGAAATATATTTTTTAACTCGAAGGAACCTAAATGGCCTGAAGTCCTACACCACCAAGTCCTACTATACCCCTTTCTCCCTCGTTAACCCACCTGCCTCCTCTGCCCAACACCTTGGCTGAAAACGTTTGTCATGCCCTGACGATTTAATACAATTAATATGCTAACTGTACTTCTCACCACATACAGTTACAACAAAGGCAGCAGCAACCCAGCCAGCAACCTGACAACAACAATTCCCTGTAGTACAAAAAAACACACTTGGCAACAGGCGCAAGGTGGCTCCGCCTCCTCCCACGCCCACAGCAAGAATTTTTTAGGTTTTTTTTTTTTTTTGGGGAGCTGCGAATGAGCCGATGTCAACAAAAATACCAAAACAAAAAAAATTTGGGAGAGAAAAAGAGCACCAGAGGCCCAATATTGAGAGCAGTGGCAGAAACAAGAGCTACCAACCACCAGACAGAGAGCGAATAAAGGCAGCGGAGCGCTCCGGGTATAAATAGCTGGCAGCAGTACTCAATTTCTCAGATACAGATACAACTCAGAAGGCGACGGATGTCGAGATAGCAGGAGAAAGCCAGCAGAACAACCAAGTGAACGAACTCGAAAATACGAAAGAAACGTGTATATTGTGTGTGCGAGAAGACAACAACAAAGAACTAACTAAATAAATATTCATTGTGCCTCCGAGCCGAGGAGAAAGTCATTGAGTCATCAAAACGTCGGCAATTGTGCAATTCCAAAAAAGGAAACTAAAGACAAAGGGATCCCAGGTCCAAAACAATGGCAGTGGCATTCTACATTCCCGACCAGGCGTCGTTGCTGCGGGAGGCCGACCAGCGGGAGCAGCAGCTCCTCCGTCTGCGGGAGTCCCAGTGGCGGTTCTTGGCCACCGTCGTCCTGGAAACATTGCGTCAATATAGCCAGTGCCTTCCAAAAACTGGAAGGAAATGCGCCAAATATCGCAAGCCATCGCAGTGAGCAATTGAGTAAACACCAGCTTAAGAGGACAACTACTACTAGCCGCCTATAGACCAGTCCAGAATCCAGAGTACAAAAGACACCACAACAACAACGCAGCCAACCCACAAAAACAAATAGCCTTTTAATGTTCACTCCAAATCAGTCAAGGATCCCCGAAGAATTTTAAGTTTACTCATCAAAGCGATTGTGATAATGGTTTTGTTTCTAAAAAAAAAAATTAAGAGAAAAATTTATAAAAAAAAAAAATTATTCAAAAATCTCAGAAAATACTTTTGAAAAATCCCCACAAATTTTGTATGGAAATTTTTTAAGACCACAAAAAAATAGTTTCTTTAGAAATAATTTACACTTAAATCATATTTAAATGAATTACTACTGTACTAGTTTGTAAGATCTTTTGTAAGCGATTTTTTCTATGTTTTTCTTAAGAGCAAAACCCAGGAAAGAAAAAAAAATAATCGAAGTTGGCTAAAAATTGCATCAATTTTTTGTCAAACAAAAAGTCAATAAAGCAATACGAAAATTAAACAAAAGTATCTTATTTTTCATATATTGATGGCGGGTAATTTTTCAGATAATTCACAAGATGCGTAAGCGGAAGATGATGACGTAAAAGAGCTGAGAAGTCGAATAATCACATTTTGAAATATTTTGAAAAATACGCTTTCACCGACGGCAAAGAACTTTCTAGATTCTTAAATGTCAATTGGCAGATCAATGATATCGACACATTCCTTTCTGTTTCCGACGGAAGAGATTTAAAAAGAAATGGCTTTTGTAAAGTATATTTAAATATTTTGTTTAAAATATACTATATTATCAGAATATATTTGTAGAAGCATTTAAAATGATGACCTATTATATATGAAGAAAATTAAATGGAAGTTCCGACGGCTAAGCGTTAGTCAATCATTTACCGACGGCTGTTTTTAATATCAATTAAAATTTTTTAAAACAACTCTAAAATAATAATTTAAAGCTCATACTGCCTTGATTATTTTAACAGAAATTGGCTAAAATATATTAGAAAAAACCTCTACTTCCAGTTCAGTTTTTTAAAGGAACTTTAATACCAAACAATTCTTTCAAACAATATCCCAATCATATTTATTAAATTTTTATAAATTTTTTAACCGGAAGAAAAAGAACGCTTTTGGCCGAACTTTTGAACTCTTGGAAAAACTTTTCAGCCACTTTAACAACATTTTTCAACAAGCGGCACCAGTCAAACACAAAGAATATTCAATTATGCAAAAAAAAAACGAGAAACAGAAGTTACAAGAATGTTTTTCAAGATTCTTCGATGCAGAAACTTTCAGAAACACCAACGAAAGACATTCTCCCTACAGCATTTTTAACATTCCCCCCGATAATGTAAAAAAATTAGGTGCTAACAAAACAATTTGCATTTTTAAGTTAATTTTTGCAGCGGAAAATGGCACGACAAAAAATCAATGTGCAATCCTTGGGGTTCCCGTCATCAGCTCCAAGGATATGACTGAACTCGCTAAGGCGAGCAAGAGTTTTAATTAAACTTTTGCACTTATGCAGCTGCCATATCCCTGTACATCCTGCAGTTCAATTCATTTTGATTGCCCAAAAAAAGTTCATAAAAGTTTGCATTGCTCGCGCAAAAAGAAATCAGAAATTTCACTTTGCCAAACAAAACTAATTAACGCTAAACAGATAAAAGTTTTGGCCACGAGCTGCTGGATTGGCATATGAAAAATAATTAACACAAGTTTATGATTATGCTGAAGCTGCGCCAAATGTCGAGCGATTTGTAAGCGAAAACAGTTGTAATAAAAATCACAGACAGAAAACATTTAATCCCTGGCAGGAAATTCTTCCAAAACTCCTTCACTCAGAGTTGTTAATTAGTTCGGAAAGTGTTTCTAATATTAGAGGAAGGAAGGATGAGGAGCCTCGGGAGGGTTAAGAGTTAAGTGAACTCAAATCAAAACAAAACTTTATCCATAAATTTCCAAGAACTATTTTCGGTCAGCAGAGGTATGCCTTTTTTTGTGTTTGGACCCTAACCTTGACTGATCTTTATCTGCTTGGTTTGTTGGCTAACCTTCCACATAATTGTCGGACATTTTGGGCAAATTTTTTTTGTCTGTTCTTTTTAAGCGAATTATTTTAAAATGCCTAGACTGGCTTCAGGCAGAAAGGTAGAAATAAAAACAATAAAATGGGGACGATCTCCGGATGCTCGTTCAAAATTAAATGAAGACAAAGAAGGATCGAAAGGCAATCTGCAGACAAAAGAAATAAAGACTAAGTAGCATTTGATTTGCCCTTTTCGAGGGTTATTTAAAATTGATTCCATGATTTTAATTTTTAAACAAACGTATACAAAACAAAATTTTTCGGTTTTTTTTGCAGTTTAATTTTTTGAATAATTTATTTTTGCTTCACTTTTCGAAAGTGTTTCTGGCTCTCGTATCCCAAAATATTTTATTTTTAGGGTTCTTGTTCGGGGTTTTTTGGTTTGCCTTTTTTTTGGGAGGTCGGACTGAAGAAAAAAAACGAAACAAAATCGAATCAGTCAACAACTAATGGCGGGCAAATTTCATTAAGCCACAGACTGGATGTGCAGCAAAGTAGAAATGTTCTGATTATGGAATTACGAAGTCCTGGGTGAGGACCAAGGATTAGCCAAAGGCGTGTGCGTGTGGACGTCGTGTAATCCATTGGAAAACTCCACCTTGGCTATTATGACAGTTGTGCAAATGGAGGAAAATTGTACAAGAGGAAATTGGATTAGATGCCCAAAATTATGAAAATGTAACCTCTGGAAAAAAAAATATCGACAAAAAAGAAACGCCACCAAAAATGTAATCAAAACAGGCAAAAGTCCTTAACAAAAACATCATTTATAAGCCGCGACAGGAGCAGCTCCAACAAAAAAAACCGAAGCATTTAAAAATATACTTTGATTGATGATATCTAGTCAGAGTCAAAAAGTCCAGACGAAAGGACACGCACACGAGCCATTAAACGAAACGGGCGCCGAAAAAAGCAAGGAAAATACATTAATTATTGAAATGTCATTAAGAGGAAGACCCAAACTGACGTCCTCCAGATTCGCATGAATATTTAATAGGAAATTTATCCGAAAAACGAAATAAGAAAATTATGACAAGAAGGCGATGCGTGACCGCTTTTCACCGTCAGGATATGCGTTCAAGGAAGCTTTTCCTTCACGGCGGTGGAGCGAATCACGCAAGATGATGTTGATGATGATGGAACACACTTGAATCGACCGATTGCCATTAATTAAGGGGTGGATTCCCTAGCAGGATATACATTCGTTTATAGGAAGTCCCAGACTATTCATCAAGCTAAGCGAACATTTTAATTAGTTTTTCTGTTTGCAGCTCGAACCCGAGATTACGAGCTAATAGTTCTCAAAAGGCAAATTATCTGAAAGTCAAAATGAGTTATGATAATACCGGGCACACCCTCTATCCAAACAAATCCCACCCATCCCCCCGAAATGGATGCATAAATGCATTCAAATTTGCCAAAAAGGATCTGAGACACATAACTGTCAAAAAAGGACAACCCGTCGAGTCGCAAATTGTTGCTCAGGAACATGGGAGAACGAACGTAGAAATACTCTTTATGAACTGAAAAAAACCTAAGAGACATTGGCAAAATGGTTACTGACAAAGTCCTAAATAGAATCAAAGAACCCTTATGCCAGGACATGGGAAGTGTGGAAAAATTTTCGCGCCTTCAAAAGGCCAACGACGGGCGTCAGAAACTATAAAATAAACAAACTTCCGTTCTGTGGCAGACGCAGATCAGCTCGGCAAATGACTGAGATGATGATTCCTTGGCGAGCTGATGAGTTTGATGGGTTTGACATACGCTCGGCAGCTCCATTGATTGCATCATAAATAATGAATTTATGCTGACAGGCAGTCGTCAGAGTTGGTCGGCCGGTGGTGGCTCCGAGAATCCAGGCAGGCTCTGTCTCTGGGGCAGCCTTTTTCGTCGACTAATAAAATATGTTTTTATTGCAATGCAACACACACGCACCGCGTATAAAAATTAATGAGCCACAGAGGCGCGCACCAGGAAATTCGCATTCAGGATCGGGATCCAGAATACAGGATCCTGGCCATTGCAAAAGCATTTCCATTTTTGCGCATTTTCCTGTTCGCATTCACGACCGCTTTTTGTTCGCATTAATGTTTGCCAAACGAAATGTTAATAATATTCATAAATATGTCAGCTAATAAAATCTGCGGTTTGATTGTCACCTTTATTTGCCTGTCTCCGGTATCCGCTGAACCAACCAACCCCAAATGGCCACTTTTCCCCATTTCACCTTTATTTTCTTGAGAGTTTTCTTTGTCATGAAAACTATCTTTGAATCAGATATTGTGGTTCATGTAGGCGCTAATTAAACATATTGTTTAAACCTAGAAGATTTTAAAAGGATGCTGGAATTTTTCTTGAAAATCTCATCTTTGTTTGCTGAACTTGAAGACCTGTGACAATGTTGCAACACCGCCAGATGTTGTCACCGGAATAAAGCAACTAAAACCAAGCCAAGGAAAATGAAGAAACTTTATATTCCCAATCCTAGACTAACCCAAGGGATGATATTTTTTACGATATTAAATGCTGAGATTTTTATAGATTTATATCCAGAATTCGACGTCGTTTCTTGCTTTTTATTGAAATAGGAAAATTTCTGCATATTGCATGCATCAAATGCTTCAGCAACAACAACTTGCCACATTTCTGGGGAACGTTGACCATTTTTATGACAAAGAATGAAATGAGACGAAATTATTGACGAGCGGAAATCGCAGGCAATAGTCGAAGGAAATAAAAAAAAGCGAAATTACTTTTGATAACAGTAATAGCGAGGACTACACAGCGCCAAGGACTCTCCAAGAGCAGCGGCAAAAAACTACACATAAGCAGCAGGAAGTCAGCTTCAAGAGGGCGTTGATTTGTCACAAGTACAATTATGAGCCCAGAGAAAAGGACATGAAGGAAAAGCAGCTGCCACAGACAATAGCAACAACAGGAACAGGAAAAACAAACACTCAAAATACAGGAAATCGAGTTTCAGATAGTGCCTATAAAAAAAGAGGAATTTTATCTACTGTTTCAAGAGACACGTTCTAAAAAATAATTTTATTATTACTTTTACGAACTATAATTTTTCGTACAACAT